CAGTCAAAAAAATTCTATCAGTTAACACCACTTAGTACAAGCTCAGAATTTTAAATACTGAAAGCACACCTGTATATCTATTAATTTTTCCCCAAAACATACATTTAGGCAAGAAATACTAAGAATGTTATGTTTAAGTAAGTAGGGGAAAAAATGCTATGACCCTAATTCCACAGATAAATGTAATAAGTGAATAAAAGTGTATGATGATGCCAAGAAGGGAGAAAACTCTGCCAAAGCTTGACCAGAAACAAAACTCATTTGCCTTAACTTTGCTATAAAAAACAATGTTTTCTTTGGGACTCCTAGGTGGCTCAATCAGTTAAGCGTCTGACTTTGGTTCAGGTCATGATCTCAGGGTTCTGGGATTGAGCTTGTCAGGCTCCCCACTCAGCAGAGGGGTCTGCTTGTCCCTCTCCCTCTGCCCCTCCATTTGTGCTCTATCTCTCCCTCAAATAAATATAAAATCTTAAAACAAAACAAAACAAAAAGAACAAACAAACAAAAACAATATTTTCTTCAAGCAAAATGGTATCATCAAGATCAGGCCTATATTCCAGAATATTTCCCACTGCCAAAATAGCATCTGTCAAAAGAAGTTTAAGACAATGAATTGAGCATTAGATTCTCATTTGTATTCCCACTCCTTACCACATCTTACCATTTTCTATCCTTAATCTTAGGTTGAATCCCATGAAATTGCTATTTTTGTACATCAAAAATGGTGAAATACCGGCAATTTCATACAGCTCAACGTAAGTAAAATGGCCAACAGAGCAGAAAAAGAGAGAGAGAGATGCACCCAGCTAGAATAAGGAGAAGGGGACTATCCTCATGCTATAAAATTGGCGGTGGTTCTGACAGATACTACATAGATGAAACTAAAATAATTCAAGTACTAACTTGCCATCATCCTACAAGAAAAATCAACATGGAGTCTCAAATCATAAAGAGAAAGGACTCTGAGAGATTTGGGCAACAGCCCCTAATTTGGAGGGCCAAGGACTGAAGCAAAGCTGTATCTTGGGACAGACACTAATCACTATCTCCATACTTCAACCTGAGGGCTCTTTGAGAGCTCATCCTAAAGAGAAGCCTCTCAACCCCAAGGTCCTTAGTGCTGCAGAGGGTAGCTCCCTAATGCAGCCATCCTGGGAGGAAACAAGCATGGCCTCACCTTACGAAAAGCAGCAGGCAGCAAGCCCACTTTCCTTCGGAGGTAGCTGGACTCTAGTCTCCTATACTCTTGTGAAGCAGGACCTTCAGACAGGCCAAAGCTCTTACTTGGCTTACACGTCACAAAAGAGAAAGCTGAATGGAGAAAGCTAATCCTGGCCTCCGCAGCTTCACCCAGCAGAGAACAAACACTTCATAAATCTCCCCATCTTCCCACAGCCCCAGCTACTCTCTTCCCCTCGGCCACTCCTTTTCATGACAGGGACATATTCTCCAGCTGCTGGGTCCCTGATGCTCATGCAATCTTTCAGAATCCAGCTCTCCAACAAAGGATCTGAGGGGGAATAGATCAGCTAGCTTTCTTGTTTGCCAACAACACCTGCCGACTCCAGAGAGGAAATGCACTGGGAGACTCTCCTGGACACACAAAACTGAGGACTACAAGTCCAAGCTTAACGAAGGGCTGGAAGAAAATGAGAGGACATGCTACAGGGATCACAGGGACCATGTCCCAGGACAGGAAGAGTATTATGAACGCACCAGGGCTGTGAGGGATGACCTGCAACCTTCCCTCTACGTCTGCCTCCCTTGCTTCCTTTTGTCCACCCTCGTTTCACTTTCTAACGACTCAGAATGCTGGGCAGTAATACACTGATTAGCCGAGCTCAGGTCATAGCTGGCCTGTCTGACCTGAGGCAGGAAGATGGAGGATCTGACATGTGTGAGAGGCCATTTCCCAAAAGGAAACCAGGGGGAATGGACGCTGGCCAGTCAATATGAACTAACACCCACAGCAAGGAAACAAAGTATTTAGTTAGAACAGGAAGGAATTGAGGCCAGTTACACTCTCTGTTTTGGGACAAATTCTAGGTGTATATACATCTGTTATTGTTCAAGGATGAATAAAAAGGACAAAAATACTTGGACTTACAGGGTACCATATAAAGAATGCAGAACTGAGGGGTAAAAAACAAACAAGCAAACAAAAACAGTTAAAACCAAAGCCAGAAAAGAACATGTTTCATACCCTCAAAGAACTGAATCTGAAGTGGGGGAAAAAAAGAACCCTTAAGAAAAATCTTTAAGAAAATCTTTAAAACCCTTAAGAAAAATCTCCCAAACACAGTAAATATAACAAAGAAATCAAAAATGCATGTGGAAAAGTGAGACTCAATAACTAGAAAATTTAATCCCCAGAGAAAATAAAAACAGTATATAGTAAGGGCAGAACACATAAGCCGAAGATATGTTTGAATTGACAGATGGAAAGTTTAATAATAAGTTATACCTAGATACACGGTCAAAATTTAGAATTTCATGGATAAAATTTTAAAAATCCTAAAAATGTCTGAGCGGGGAAGTGGAGGGGAAGGTTATCTTCACTGAAGCAATACATTAAAAAGCTTTTTTAAGAAAGAAAGCATATATTTTACAGTTAAATTCTTTTATTAAAAGAAAAAAAAAAAGGATGACTTCGGAACTAAAGTTCTACACTGAGTGTCCAAGAGAAAGATTCAAAGTGACAAAAACTAAAATAACAAGAGCTTTTAATATTTATTAAGGACTTAAAATATGCCAGGCATTGGGCTAAGCATTTATTTGTATTCATTCAATCTTCATAAAAACCAAATAAAATAGGTCCCAATATTATCCTCACTAGACAAAGAAAATGAGACACAGAGAGGTTAGATAATTTGCCCAAAGTTCACACAATAGATGGGAGTTGCCAGAATTTGAACCCAGGTAGCCTCATTCCAGGGCCTAACCATTTGAACTACTGTTCTAAATGAATTCCCTCTAATGTAAAAAGGGCACAGAGATCAGGCAAATCCAAACAAACTACAAGTGAGTGGTAGTTATAGTAATTTTAGTTATTGAAGGGAGAAAAGATAATTATTTGTCAGTGGTGAGAGTTAGAATTTATGATCAAGAAAAAGAAATACTCAGCTCACGAGTGTCCAAACCTCGTCGCTCTTGCCCCATTGGAGATATCCATTGGGGCAGTTGCAGAATGCATGACCGAATGAGCTAGTAAGCAAAGATCGGGCACAGACCCTTATGTACTAAATTTAAAAAGTAATAAAATCCCTAAAAATAAAAGGGAGCTGACAGGGGAACAGTGGCAAAAAAAATAGGTATAGTCATTTCTGCTATAAATGCTTGTTTCAAAAAAATTTATTCCAAAGTGAATGATTATATCAGGGAGCAAATTTTGTATTGCTTAAGTGAAATTTTGTCCCTGAGAAACAGAAGTGAAGAAGGCAGAAAACTGCACCCAGTTGAACCCAGCCACATAGGGATACACAAGACACACACACACACACACACACCCTCCAAGGTCTACCAGTTACTTCAATTCACTGTCTGTGTTCACAATCATCCACATATGCCAAAAAACTTCCTGTCAGATTTCAGATAACCCACTTTCTACCATTTTGCACTAACTCAAAGTCTGTACTCTTTCTGACATCCACGTCTACAAGTATAAACTTCAGGTCTTTTATTGTAGCATTTATGTTATTTCTAACCACCTAACATACATAAATCTCTACCAGCATCTTTATTAGGTTCCCATCTCTTCTGTGTGTGTGCGTGCGTGTGTGTGTGTATCACTAACAAAGTTTTTGAATGCTGTGCCCTATCAAGAAAAAAAAAAAAAAAGGTCTGATGGATAATGATGGAAAACCAAATCCCTCCAAATTATCTTTAAATTAGTTTGTGTCAATTTCCATCAAAATCCTTTTCTTTTTTGATACGGTAGGAAGAATTTAACAAATTAATTCTAAAGCTCCTTGGGAAAATTAAGTGGTCACTCATTAAAAGAATTTTTCAGCAAAGAAAGACAAAGGGAGATTTAAATTGCCCATTAATGAAACAGATCTTAAAGCCACGACAATCAGAGTCAAGCAGAAAAGTCCATGAAAGAGGTCAGAAAACCCAGAAATCAATGCATATTTAAATACAACGAAGATGGCACTTCAAATAAGTAGGGAAAAAAACAGACAATTTACATCTCAGGGCAGCAGCAGAGCACAGCATGGGAGGGAAGAGCCTGTGGGGCTGGACAGGCGGCCCCGGATGGCACGCCAGCGAGGCGCGTCCCAGCTGGGTGACCCCGGACAACCAGTGTCTTTATCTGTAAAACGAGGACGGTCATTGTACCTACTTCACAGGACTGCTGCGAGGATTATCAGTTATCATTTGTGAAGTGCTCAGAACAGGCATTAAAACAGTAAGTGCTATATGTGTGATATTAAATAAATAAAAGAAAGCAATTCATGCTATGATAATCCTTAAACTCTTGGGAGCAGAAGGGGGGGACACATAGGGAACAGATTCTCTCATCATACCACACTGAGAAAATATGCAACATTATCAGTAATCAAAAATCCAAATTAAAATATTTCAACCATCGAATTGGTCAAAGTTTTAGAAAAAAAATATACTGGTGGCCAACTAGGCAGAGACATTGGTACAATTCTATATGGAAGATAGAAGAATACTCTGAAACAATCTTTCCAAGGGTCACTTTGATTATATGCTTCAAAAACCATTTAAAATATTAAGCCCCTTTGACCTAATAATTCAATCTCCGGGACAAAGTTGGAACATAAGGACTTCAACAGAAAAGTTTCAAGTCACTTTTTCAGAGATGAACTAGAATCAGGGAAAAAAGGATGTGAAGAAATATTTTAGTTTCAGATATAAGGCTAAGAATTTTTACCTTCTAAAAATCCAAGTCTTGTTTCACTGTATAATTAATGTTTAATATTACCAAATTGCAAAAACAAAAAAACAAACAAAAAAACAGTTTTAAAACAAACCTTTTAACAGCATCCTTCTTCGGCTTATCTATAGTATCCCACCACTTTGAAAGGTAAGAAATCTCAGACCACATAAATTTTCTCCGTGAGTCTTCTTTCAGCTTGATGACCATGTTATTAAAAATATACCGAGTCATCTCTCTAAAGTAGTCATCAAAAGTCTTCAACCAACCTAAATCAAGACACAAATATACAACAAAGGTCTGATTCATATGTCTGATTTCAACTCAGTCACATTCCATTGCATCACCTTTGGATACCCTTAGATGTTTCATTCATATTAAGACACATTTAAAAATTTCAGAAATGTTTCAAGTGGTGAAATTCCATTTCAATGGATACGAAACTCAAAAAGTCACTAATGACAAAACACTCTGAAAACTGCACAAATTCAGATAGAAATGAGGGAAAAAATGAGAAAAATGACCTGAGGCCCAAAAGCATTTATTTATGCTTAGTAATTATAGTATTGAATTCAATTATTTATAATTTATCTCTAATTTAAGGAATTTGCTTTAATTCTAAAAATCTGAACAGCGTTAACAAGCTGGCAGTACTACTTACTCATAATGTAATGAAAACTGTATCCCTTCATACCACATCTGAAACTCCCTACCCATTTTAGTAAGTTAAATTAAGAAAAAGAAAAGTATAAACTATATCTAAAAGTCAGCAGCAAAGCAGTAAGGTAATTAATAGCACTATTATGAATACAGAGAAGTAGAATTCTGCCAAGAACGGGCATTAGTTTCCAAAGGCTGTAAATTATTCCATTTTTTGGAAGCACAAATTGACACTAATCAAACAACACAAGTGTATACATGTATGTCAAGTCTTTTTCAAAAGAAAATTGTAGATACTGAGGACTTAGTTCTCAGACTTTTCTCAAATATCCTGGAAGTTTTATCTAAAGATATTTGTAATTTCACTCTAAAGAAACATCTTTTTATAAGATTCTATTTATTTGACAGAGAGAGAGAAAGAGAGCACAAGCAGGGGGAGTGGCAGGCAGAGGGAGAAGCAGACGCCCCGCTGAACAGGGAGCCTGACACGGGACTCGAATCCAGGACCCTGGGATCATGACCTGAGCTGAAGGCAGACGCTTAACTGACTGAGCCACCCAGGTGCCCCATCCCTATAAAGAAACATTTTTAACAAGACCCATAGGTCCAAGCATAGCCCTATCTGGCAGAGCATTAAAGCAACATGATGAGCTGCTGAGGCAAAATCATACCCAGCTATCTATTGGCCACGTGGACCTTCCAAAGAACAACCTCTTATCCATGAAATCTTATAGAGAGATAGGAGTTTCTATACAACCAGGCTAAACTACTGCTCTATTTTTTCCAAACCTCAAACATGTGGGGAGACTAAACTATTAAGGGGTCAACTGGTTAGTTCTTTTGTTTATAATTAATATCTGAAATATACTGTATTAGCTGGAAGATAATAAAATGTGCTAGGGCAGAGAAGACAATGCAACTATTTTGACAATGTAAATATGAGCTTCTGAAAAGGGCACTGACACTCTGTATTTCTCCCTTTTGCTTTAACTAAAATCTATTCATTCATTCCATAGTTATTTAGTGAGCATGTACAAAGCGACAGGTATGAAGCCAGAAGCCAAAGAGGAATTCAGTGTAAAATATTCTTTACGAGGACTTTCTTGATCTGGGACACCTTTAAGTTATTTTTAAAGTCACCAAAGAATACTACATGGATAGTTTAACTTTTCCATGTTTAAATAAAAAGCCTATCTATATAGAAAATTCAAAGATAGCTCATGAAATAGTGGTTTGCAAAGAATCCCATCTTGCTTGGCAAAGGTACAAACTTGGGACTCCTGCCCCAGACCGCAAAGCCAAGATCCACATCTGGATTCCCAAGGACAAGCAAAGAAAAGCCAACCTACCCCTAGCATGCTCCAACTCGCTGCTAATGCTGACCATGCCAACATCCAAGACAAAAAAAAACATCAAGTGCTCAGACCAGAGTCCAGGATATAACACAGGACTTGATAAATGTTAGTTGCTATTATTATTATCACCTTCATCAGTCTTTAATGGACCCTTCCCCATCTCTACAATCAAAACAGGTAAAAGAGGAAATAAAAGATATTTCTAACAACTAAATTTTGAAAAGGGCACATTTATTTAAAACATTTAAATAAACTGTTCCACATCTTAAACATATTGGTAACCCAAAACTTTGGTTTGCAAAGAATTCATTCTATGCCCCTATTAAGGGCTGAATTGTGTCCCCTCAAAATTCCTATGTTGAAATCCTAAACCTCAATACCTCAGAATGCAACTGTATCTGGAGACAGGGTCTTTCAAGAGGTGATTAAGGTATAATAAGGTCATGAAGGTGGGCCCTAATCCAATATGTCCTTACAAGAAAAAGCAATTAGGACACAGACATACACAGAGGGAAGACCATGCGAAGACAGGGGGCTATCTGCAAGCCAAGATGAGAGGCCTTCAGAAGAAACCAACACTGCTGACACCTTGATTTTGGACTTGCAGCTTCCATAACTGTAAGGAAATAAATTTCTGTTGCTTAAGCCACCCAGTCTGTAGTACTTTGGGATGGCAACCCTAGCAAACTAATTTAGCCCTAGAAAAAATCAGGGTTATTACCATCCGAAAAACAAAGATTGCACTGTGGGGAGAATTTATTTTACCAAGGACCATTATAATATTTAATTTAACATGTATCTACCTCCATATTGCAAGACTGAGCTAAAATCAAATGTTTGGAAGTGACCTCTCCTTCTGCATCATGCTCTTATTATACATGTGCAGTGAGGACCATGTAAATTCCTGAAATGGCTCTGTGCAAATTATTGTCTTTAAGACATCACACATAGGTGTTTTACCTAAATTTTAACAAAGGTCAAAACTAAGCCCTAATTATTTGGCTATTAACTCAATAAAAGAAAAGAGCTGTTAACAATGGAATGACTCCAAAATTAATTTAATAATAAAACTCTAGTAATCTAGCATAGAAAGCAAATTTAGAAGAAACTGTCTTTATGAAGCTGAATAAGTAACAGGGTTTTTTTTTCTTTTTTAAGTACAATTACTTGTTTTCATCAGTTATAATTTGTTATTAGCTAAGACCCTTTCAAAGAATAGTTTATCATAGGAGTTTTCATAAAGAAATCACAGTGACTGATTAATCCATGTTGCCTTCAACACTTCATTTGCCCTTCAACAATCATGCAGAAAATATGTCAAAGATATTTACGTGAGCCAAAATACATGCTGAGATGTCAACTTCAAAGCCTTCCATAAAACTCATCTATAATAGATACTAATATCACTAAAATATAACACAATTAATGAAGAATGAACTAAAAGATAGCCTCTTGCAGCTTTCAATATTGAGTAATATAACAGTAAATTAGCTTTTATTGCTCTTATACAATAATCAAGTATTCCCTTTTACACTGAATTGGCTCTTTCTTTTCCTCAATTACTGTAAAACTACAATTGTATATTAACATAAGACCAATCAGAAAGACAGTATTTTATGAAAAGTTGTATGGGATGATTTTTTGTGACATAAAATTATATTCCTACCTCTGGATTTAATAATCCTAGGACATTGAGTTGCAAACTGATTTACTTAAGTGGTCAATTCACAGCCTTTTTCTTTCCCTTGAATACACTTGGAAATTGAACCAGGGCTAGAATAGCACGAAGAATACCTTTCCATTTACTCTTTTTCCCCTCTAACAACACTTTAACCCATAAAACAGCTAGTCACCATTTTTAAGTAAGTGGGGAAAGATCTAAAACAAAGAATACATAATTAGAAGTTCTTTAAAGCAGGCATAACTCCAAGTTTGCTATCACTATTTTATCATAAAAAATTTTAAGTTTTAAAATATAAAGCCTAATAAAGTTGACAACCCAATGCTTATTTTTAATGCTTGTGAACAATTAAGCACCTCGTAATTGTTCACTGACAAAACACTATTTTTTAAAATTTGACTCTTGATCTTGCTTCAAAATCTAAAGACTTTGTGGCACTCTGATCCTCTCAAGGAACACTCAGTTTTATTTGGTTCAAGAGCATACACAGCACCAATTTAGCACTTGGGCAAGGGGATCCCTTCCTGAGCCCTGGTCACTTGAGGGATCTTCCTATTCGTCCTCTGACCACATTCTTTTCACACAATAAATTCCCAAAGCAAAGAACCTGCCCACCCAGAGCCTGCCCTGACTTGCCCTGACCTGCCCTTCTGAGTACCAGGGCCCAGAAATCTGTGTTCAAACAGCCTCAAGCCAGTTTCTAGAGCCCACCAAGGGCCTTCTATAGGTTTTTCTATAGGGAAGTCGACCTGCAGGTGGTAACCTCCCTAGCCTGAGCAATGGGCAGGGGGAATGCAGTTTGCAGGGGTGTGGGAAGAGTGCTGGGGTGTCTGCAAAGGAGGGCCTGGTTTAGGACAGGGCCATTTCTGGGAGACAGGGCTGGGCTACTATAGGCTGGCTCTTCCCACATGCACCAACACATTCCAGTAGAGAACTGGAGCCTGATCGATCTCAACCCACACATGGCCTTCCTGATAATGGTGCTATTTCTCAAGGCAGGATGAAAAGACCTATCCTTATTTAGCAATGTATCAGTTTGATTTATAACTTTTAAATGTTTATACAAAGGGCCTGAGGACCTCCAGGTATTTCTGCCCCAATTCCTACAAATTTGAGAACCTATAACCCGAACTTCAAAGCATTGAATTCTCATGAAGCCAGCACCTAGTATGAAGCCTACACCATCAAGAATTCAGTAAGTATGTGATAGATGAATGAAATGCACGGCCAAAAGGATAGGGGAAAAAAGGTATATGAAATATAAATACGAATTTATTACTCCAACTGGAAATGAAACCAAAAGGAAAAGACATTGCACACATACACAATTAGCTCTAATGCATTCATTGTCTGTTCTGATGCTAACCTAATAATCTTTGGTCATTATCTCTTAAGGTTCTATTTTATATTTAAAAAAGCTCTGTCAGCCCTAAGATAATTTAAAACACACATCCTCTCGGGGGCGCCTGGGTGGCTCAGTTTGTTAAGCGACTGCCTTCGGCTCAGGTCATGATCCTGGAGTCCCGGGATCGAGTCCCGCATCGGACTCCCTGCTCAGCGCGAGTCTGCTTCT